GATTTAAGAAAACAGCATGTGACTGTGAAATTTTGTTTCCTACTCAGAAAAAATGGCATTGTGTTGAACAGCTTACAAGGATAGCACTATGGGGAAAACTCAAGTGTACAAGCGGTTTTCTTCCTGAACAAATGAAAATGTTGACTCCTAGTACATTTGGAGTTTGTTTCACCAGGTCAGATTGGTCATCAAGCTTTCTATTTAGAGGTTCTAAGTTTGCATAACAATGTGAGACAAAAAAGGCCTGGTTTGTGACAGACGGGAGGCTGGTTTGGCCACCACAATACCCCTGCTCAACGCAGCCAATACCCCTGCTCAACGCAGCCATCTCAACGCAGCCATCTCAGCCATCTTGGCAAAAAAACAGCATGCCTCTCTTGCTCCATGCACCTTACTCACCTGACCTTGCTCTGTGTGCCTTTTTGTTTCCACAAATGAAGAGGCACATGAAAGGGCAGCGATTTGATGATTTGACAATGTAGAAGAGGTGAAAAAATGAGGGAGGTGCTTACAAACATCCAAACAGATGACTTTGAAAAATGTTTCCAAGAATGGAATCACAGATTTGGCAAATGTATTAAGTGTAATGAAGAGTACTTTGAAGATGATAGGTTGTTTTAGAACAAATTTAAGTACATAATTTGAAAAATAAAATTCCAGCTTTGGGGGAATACCTCCTTGTACATATCACTTTGATAACAACAAAAACACACAGCCCAGTCATAAAACGGGCCAAGGACTTAAAAGACTTTTCACCAAAGGATATTCAAATAGCCATCAAGTACATGAAAAAATGCTCAGTATCATTAGACATCAGAGATGCAAATCAAAACCATAACGAGATATCATGTCATTCCCACTAGGAAGGCTAAAATAAAGGAAATCAGAACATAAAAAATGTGAGGCACTTGCAACTCTTAGCTGTTGCGGAAGGGTAGGTCCCTGGTGGCGCACGGGTTGAAGGCCTTGGTGCTAACCAAAAGATCAGCAGTGTTAAACCATTAGCTGCTCCATGGGCGTTGGATGTTAGTCTACTTTTGTAAAGAGTGCACTTGAAAACCCTATGGTACAATTCTACCGTCCCCCAGGGTTGCGAAAAATTAGAATCTACTCAATTGCGATGGGTTTTTACACATTGCTGGAGGGGATGCAGATGGCATAGCCATTATGGAAAACACCGGGTCCTCAAAAAATAAAAACTACTACATGACCCAGCAACTCCACACCTAGGAATATGCCCTTTTAAAGATCTGAAAACAGACTCAAAAGACTTCAACACCACTGTTCATTGCAGCACTATAACCTAAAGCCAAAGGTAGAAACAAAGGCCCATCAACAGAAGAACGGATAAACAAACATGGTACACACATACAATGGAATACTACTTTGCCGGTAGGAGCAATTGTCTTGATGGGTGCTACAATATGAATAGAAGTTGAAGACATTATGCTGAGTGAAGTAAGTCCACCACAAAAGGCCAAATACGAGGAGCTTTAAAGAGTTTTGGGGGAAAATTCCATTATCTTGTCATCCATTTTGTCCACGAATGTTTTAAAGCTCCCTCCTATGTTATGACACAGTGGTTACACACTGAGCTGCTCCTTTCAAGGTGAGCAGTTCAAAACCACCAGCTGCTCCTCAGGAGAAAGACAGGGCTTTCTACTCCCATAAAGAGTTACGGTCTAAAAAAATTTTAAGAAAAAAAGAGTTACAGTCTATAGAGTTTGGGGTTATTTTTTTGCATATGACCTTTCTTATATAAAAAGACAAGGCAAATATGTCTATAAGCAAAGTTAATTAGTGATTACCAGGAAGAGAGAGAAGGGTCAAGGGAGGGTTAATGATAATGTAAATTGTATTGAAATGTTAACTGGCAAAAGTTTTATTATGTTTACAATGGCCCCCACCCACTAAAAAATATATATAGCTGCTGAATATTCTTAACAACCACCAAAATACTCATGGGACTTAGTTTCTTGAAGGATTAGTGTCATGGTTTCATGGGACATCCAGTTTAATTAGCCTAATCAAATGGCGAGTCCCTGTGTTCTACCTTAGTTCAAGGTGTAGCACCTAGAACAAGTGAAGGCGTCAGGCACAGGAGGAGGATATGGCATGTGTGGTAATTTCCTCCACCAACAGCTGTCTCCTAGGAGACTGAAGAACTGGACTGGGTGGCTGAAGGGGGCAGAATATGTCCTACCACTACTGAACATTTTGATCAAAGACTCCATAGAAGAATTCTAACCAAAAGGGGAATTATACAGAATAGAATTTCAAATTTTCATGGACTGTTGACTTCCTGAAGCCATGAAAGTTGGGTGAACTACTGAAACTAGCATTTTCAGATCTTTAAATCTTAAACCAAAAACCAAATATTCCTGAAAGTCTTCCTAAAACCAGTTAATAGTTTAGATTAACTAGTTTTTTAAAAAATCTGCCTTATGTCCTTTTAAGAAGATCTGTATGGGATGAAATCAATAATAGCAACTTGAAAACTTAGATAGGAACCGTGTTATGGATTGGTGCCCAGTGCCCAGTTCTGATTCACTGCAACCGAGAACAACAAAATGAAACACCGCCTCGTTCTGTACCACGCTCACCATCTTTGCTGTATTTGAGCTCATTGTTCTAGACGCTGTGTTAATCCATCTCTAGATCCTGAGAGAAACAGGTTGGTCAAACCCAAGATCTGACTTATTATGGTACCAGAAAGTAGTAGTGTAGCTAGGTCTTGGGGTCACTCTTCCACATCTTCCGCTCCTCTCTGCTGGATGTGAGTCAATCAGCAAGCACTACACTATTCTCATGAGGAAAAAAAAAAAAAAAGTTACAGCTAGCTAGAAAAAGGAGTCCGTTAAAGGTTCTGCCTGCTCATTCCCAGCAGTTTCATTAATCATTGGGAATTTAGATCAGACATTCCTACAACATGAATGCTGAGCTACCAAGCGGACTTGGTCACGACACTGGCACGACTGGCAGTAAGTCTTCCCAAGTAAAGTCATGCAACAGAGAAAGAAAAGACGAACACCCGAAGACAAGAGGGGCAGTGGGCATCACCTCTCCCAGTCATTACGCCGGACCCGAGTCGGCTCGGTCTGAGTAGATAACCAAAACATCCCCGTTGCATTTTAGGTACGGCCACCACCATTCAGGTACACTCCATCTTCATTTCAAGTAGATGTACCTGGTAACTACCTTTAAGGGATGAACATTTCCCAAAGGTGAACAAATTCTACGCATGGTGGCAGACACGCAATGTATGTCTTCAGAATAAGAGAAACATTCTCTGCTTTCCTCTTGAAACCTCCAATGACGCCCTCTGGGAAGACTGTCCAAGACCAAGACAGTACTTTCACACCCAATGGTGTTATCTTAACCACATTAATGCTTCTGCGACGGAGCTGAAGTGAATTTTATGTATCCTCAGTAAAGCCAAATAGCCAATAATTTACAAAAATATGTGTTTATTGTGTTTCAATGTTCTTACATTATAGACAGATCATACACATTTAATCTTCATGTTAAATATAAATTAGAGCGATAAAGATTCTAAATAAACCAGCAGAAATGCTGAAAATCCCTTCGTCACAAATTATTTTAAATGTAGTATAGGATGATGAAATTGCTTTAAATCACCTTACTCTAAAAATGGTGAACTGTAACCAAAAAAGAAGCAAGGAAGAGCAAAGTGACAGGGTATCAAACTATGGTGTGCTGCTTCATTCTGTATCCAATGAATGGACCAGTACACTCGACTGGAAAAATGTCTGCCCACCAGTGGCTGCGCCAGATCAGGGAAGTCTTGATGGCCACTCCAGGGGAGGGCGGCTAGAAGAGTGGCGTCGGATGACCTCTGGCGGCTCCAAAGATAGGAAAACACCCATTCCCAGAGTCTTCACTCAAAATCACATAACTAAAAAGTGACTAAGGGTTGGAAAATGTGTTGAGTAATAGTTGTAGTAACAGACAGATGCAAAAACTAGGAAACTCTTGCTGAAGATCAACGTGGAGAGGTCCAAATGCTAACCTCAAATGATGACGTTACAGGAGCTAAGCAGGCCGAAACTGGCCTACCACGTTTTCCCGGTGAATTTGGAGATTGAGGTACCCACTTCTCTTCCCGTCTTCTAAGATGTGTAAGAGCAGATGGGACCTGCAACTCACCAGCCTTCTCAGCCTTCCTGAGTGCTGCAGCAATCCGAACCGTTTATAGAATGAGGAGAACTACTATAGGCCCCAATCTCACACAGGGCAGAGTTCAGCCCACACAGTTTCTATTTCTTAGTAAGAAACAGCTCCACCCCCAATAGTACAGAAACTAAAGGACAACCTCCCTTGAAGTTGGAGCAAGCGTTTAACTATTTCTAAGCTTGGTGGCAAGGACACCACAACCATTTTCCAAAGTCATGTGGAGACAAGCTCTCATCGTGGGGTCAGTTGCGACACTCTGTGGCGGTGGGGCTCCGGACAGTGGACATAAGATGTGACTTATAGGTTTTGCTCAAGCCCGTCATCCAAAACTTCAAAAGCTTGACATTGTCTTCCTCCGACGCCCCAAGAATACTCAGGAGTTTCTGTGTGTCCTCTTTGGGGCGACTGTCCACCTTGGTGAATTTAAAAAGCACTTTCACTTTGCTACAGAAAATCAAAAACAAAACACTCAGATACCACCACACAATCATGGGAGTTCAGGTCACTGGGGCTTAATTGGTTTAAGACCAGCAAGGGCAGAACTGGAATTCAAGAACTCAGGGCTGAAGTAAGCTCCCCATAACACCAACAGGCCTTACATTTGCCCAACCTGTCTGACCCTGGGTAAGGAGACTGGAGAATCAATGGAAAACAAGTTTGTTTCCTTTAAATCCATGGAAAGGATTGGTTATGGCTAATCTTTATTATTTTAAGTCAGGATAATCGCTGGCTAGTAAAAATTTGACTAAAAAGTTACTACAATAAATTAACTTGCTTTTAAAAAAGAGGGAGCAGAGCTTCCATTAGAGGACGCTCTAGCACAAACCTAAGAGTCCTTATTTGACTCTCAACAACTGTTGGGTGTCCATACCATCCCCATTTGAGAGAGGAGCCACCTGAGGCTTAGGGAAAAGGGGTTCTTGCAAAGGCCAGACTCTAAGAGCTAAAGGATGCATTCTTACTTCATCCACTCTTCCTTGAGGCAGATGAGACACTGGTCCACCACATCCACAGACAGATTCTGATTGGTCAGAGCAGCTTCAATCTTATTCAGGATGGTGGGGCCAACTAGGAATAGGAATGGAAGCAAAGCAAGGGTTGGTATCAACACAAAGAAAGAAGTACCCGCTAACGCGTGCCCTCTCGTTCTCCTAAAGCACGGGCCTTCTCTGACCCAGGGTGGGATAGAGATTATGTGAACTTGACACTCCTGGGTAAGGGTGGGCACAGGACCCAACCTATCAATTGGGTCCTTATATCAATTGGGTCCTTATGACACCTCCTTGGTCATCAGGCTTCCTGCATCCTGCTTCAACCTTCTGCGTCATGGGCCTGCATCGGACTTACGGACTCAGGTTGGGCTGGACTCTTTCTTATACGCGCGTGAGTGTCGCTGGACTTGTTTCTTTAGACAACCCGGCCTCCCACAGCAGGTAGCCTGCTCAGCGGCACCTACCTCGATCTGCAGACACAGGGCTCCCACTAGTCACCACAAACTCGTATTTGCTGAGAGACTGGTCATCCTCAGGCCCCACGGGGTAGACGCTGGGGTGGGGGGCCATGTGGACCTCCACGATGACAGCAAACTCTGGCAGCATGAAAACACACCACTCCATGAAGTGCCCACTCACCTCCCCCGACAGCATTTCCCTCACTCCGTCCCTCCAAATCACTTCGGGTTTACAAGGGGAAATGCCTTTTAAGATTAAAGCTTTGCTACTTAGAACCATTTCTATTTTATTTGTGAATAGAGGTAAAGGTTAATTTTATATCCCAGTTAAACTACACAAAATATTAATAAGCTATACACAACCCACTTACTATGCAACAGCCTTATCAGGTTTGATCCCACGATTACCTCCAATTTATAGACAAGGAAACAAAAGTGACTTAGTAGGGAACAATGTCTGCCCTGGCTCTAGGTTCAGGGCATCCCTAACCCTCCCTACCCTGAGCCTTGTGCCTCTGAGGCTGAGCCTGTGAACACTGGGTGGATCAGAGGGCACAATTTTCGCCTCCTAGGCGTGCCCAGGGAAGGCCAACCAAAAGATGGGTGATGGGATGGGCAGCTCCCAAGTGTCTGTTCTAGATGAGTCAATTCATCAGCACTGAGGACACGCGCTAGACTGGTCAAGCCCCACTGAACTAGAGCACACTGAGATTCAAGGAGAGACTGATATGACAGGAAGGAAGAAAAAGAGAGGAAAGAAGTATGACGGGAGAATAACTAGAAGGAAAAGGAGGGAGAAAGAGACTGTGGCTGACGAAAGGCACAGCATCAGAGAGGGCATATTAGCCTGGTATCTTGGAGAGGTAAGAGGTGACAGGCTCCTTGGCAGTTTGTTCATCCTGCTTCAGTGGACACACTTCTCCTCACACCCAGGAGTGCCGCCTGTTGTCCACTAGAATTACTGCCCCAGCAAGCCCTGGCCATATGGTCCAGCCCACCACACCCACTTTTTAAAGTCAGAAAATGGACTTCAACTCCCACTGGCTATGGAAAAGCTGGTTCTAGAAATTCCCAAGTATCAGGAGGGCTAATATGCCCTCTCTGATCCTGTACCTTTTGTAAGTCAGTCTCTTTCTCCCTCCTTTTCCTTCTAGTTATTCTCCTGTCATACTTTCCTCTCTTTTTCTTCAGTCCTGCCCCCAGGACCAGCAGGCAGTGGGCCCTCACCCACAGTGAGGACCTAATTCCACGTAAGCCCTGAAGTCTACGAACTCACCAATCAGGCCCTGAGCACACGCACCTGAGGACAGCACATGGGCGGGGATCTGCACCTGTGGGCTGAGCCCCAGGAAGTTACAGCGATATGCTTCCTCATACTGGTTGCTGTACGGGATGACACAGACACAGCCCACCGGCAACATGGTCTGGAGAGGATGAGAATGACTGAGAACCAGCAGTAGCCTGACACACCCTCTGCTGTTAGACAAGCCGGCCTCCCACAGAAGATAGCCTGCTCAGCCCCTCAGCGCTCCCTCTGCCAAGGCTCCCCTGCCTCCCACCCCACGAACCAACTCTCATCTCGGCCCTGGGCACACATGGACTGTGCTGGTCAGTGTTCAGGCCTACTCTGCTCTTTGACATCGGTCTCTCCCAGTTCCACGTGCAGAGGCTATGCCACATCTGTTTCCGTGCCTCACAGGCTAGGCAGGTAAGGCAGACACTTCGCCGGCTTCCCTCAGTGTGACTCGGAGCTAGCCAGGGCTTGCTCGCCACTCCTCCCATGGGAAGGGGCAGCTTGTGAAGCAGCACCCCACCACCCACTCCCTGAGGACATTGCAAGAAATGCAATGGCCTGGCCTGCTGAAATGGCAGCCCAACCCCTCCCAAATGGCCTTCTCGGGGGATCTGGATGTTAGGTTAATCTCTGCCAAGATGGCCACCACTTTAATAGTGTAAAAACACATATGTCTACCAGGGGCATAAGTGGAGAGCAAATGTTTTGAGAATGGTGAGGGCAATGAATGTACAAATGTGAATTACACAATTGATGTATGTATGAATTGTTATGAGTTGTATGAGCCCCTAATAAAATGATTATTAAAAAAAATAGTGATCTCAATTAAAAAAAAAAGTCAGCTTAGAATTCACACACTGACCCTTTCCTGAGCACCTGAACATTCATATCTAAAGCCAGAATTTATATATTTTTTAAACCCACTATCGTAAACACTGTCCTGCTATAAAACACACAAAGAAAAAGATGTTCTTACCCGAAGAATTTCAAAAGCTGACTGGACAAGATCCACATCTCTGCTCTTCCAGATCACCTGGTTCCCCATGAGAACGTGCCAGGCCAACATTCGGAAAGACGGGGCACCCAGGACCTGGGAAAGACAGCTCAGTGCTTGCAACATGACCAAGAGAATTGTTTCTTATTCCTCCAATCGAAGTTGTTCGGGTCATGTGTTCTTCTAGAAATTTCTCTCATACGGTGAGTGGAAGATGGGGCTGGGAGAAAGGCAAGCCCTTACCCTCTCAGAGCCTCAGTCACATGTCAAAAGAAAGTGCTTAGGTGGAGGCAGCCCAGGAATTGCACGTACAAGCCCGATTATAAAGGTCTTGCACACGAGTCTCTTTTGTCCTGATTTTATTTTTGAAAATCTGAAGCAAGCAGAGTTGTTTGCTTTTCATTAACATTCACATTCTCTTTTTAAAAAGTTTTTGAGATTAGTCCCTTGTCTGGTATGTCATCAACAAAAAAAAAAAAAACAGAGAGAGAGAGAGAACGATTGAGAGGGCTCTTTGTACTCCTAACCAACTACCTTCTGCTAGATTTTAAACCAGTAAGTTCAAAGGTCACATGGAGGCAAGCTGGGAGGGGAAGACTGGGTTCTTCTCCTTTAGTTCTTCCTCTGCTACCCACCTGCCTCATGTGCCGAAGGGATTTAAAGACCGCCAGCTTCCGAGGCTGCCAGCTCCCACCGTCTGAGCGTGAGGACAGGTCGGTTAGGTGTTTGGTCCGCTCCCGCCCTTCTGATCCTTCAGAGAACACAGGCGCCTTCTCTTCGGCCTCAGAATTGTCCCAGCTTTCTGATTCCTCTTCTAAGTCTGCAATCCGGATGAGAGGCAGTTACAGAACATGCTGCTCTGTGCGCCATACCAGCGCGCTGGCCGCAAGAATTGTGGGGTCCCAGGCGAGTCGTTACTGGCTTCCTGTTCTGACAAACTGGCTGAGGCTATGGTCTTGGATATCCTGGAGCTCTAGAGAGGGAAAGAGGTTCAGCCCCCTCATCACCTGTAAGGGTGTACCTGGGGCTGACCTTTGAGTTTTTAAGGCACTAACTTGAAAGAGGCAAGCTGTTCGTTGTTGGTTGGGAAATTTCAAAGCAATGATGAACACGAGAGTTTGCATTTATTGAGCACTTCCTCTGCCTCAAGCTTTTCTAAGAACTTTATGTGCATTATTTAGTCCTGAGTTCAATACTATTAGCCTCATTTTGCAAATAAAGAAATATTTCAGCTCGTCTTCAGGGAAACCCCCACAAGTGAGCACATGTCTGTTTCACATCATGGCTGAGACAGCTGGCCCAGAGGAAGGAACTTTGCCTACACTACACACTGCTGCCACGTGCCAGAACAGCTAGGGTTAGTGCCAGGCCAGTTTGACTCACACACTGCTCTAAGCTCCCAACTTTCATCTGTCATGACCCCACACACCAGCATTTCTTCTTTGTCTGAAAGCTTCCCTAGATCTCAGTGGCCTAGCCATCTCGACCAGCACAGAAATGTAATCGCTAGGGAGATGGCTACTTGTGAAGACATGAAGGCGGCTGTGGGCACGGTCTGCTGTAGCACTCGACTCCCTTCCTCCTCACTCGGCAAAGCTTATTTAAAAGTGAACATGCGCCAGAGCCTTGATGACAGGAATCATCTGGAAACAGCTCCCACTTAATACACGGGTAAACCATTTGTAAACTGTAGCATGTAGCACACTAGCTGTAACAAATCGTGACATAAAGGGCCTCTGGTGGTAGAGTGGGTTCTGCTCTGCGCTGAGCTACTAATCTCAAGGTCAGCAGCTGCAAACTAGCAGCCACTCTGTGAGGGAGAGATGAGGCTTTTTGCTCTGTAAAGAGTCTTGGAAACCCATGGGGCAGTTACACCCTGTCCTATAGCGTCTATAGGGCAGAAACCCATGGGGCAGTTACACCCTGTCCTATAGGGTCTATAGGGCAGAAACCCATGGGGTAGTTATGCCCTGTCCTATAGGATCTATAGGGCAGAAACTCATGAGGCAGTTACACCCCATCCTATAGGGTCTATAGGGCAGAAACCCATGGGGCAGTTACACCCTGTCCTATAGGGTCTCCATAAGTTGGAATCAACTCAATGGTTTGGTTTGACCTGCTATGTGCATTACAACTAGGACTTAACCAACCCACAGCTAAAACCCATGGACCTAGATAATCAAAAATCATAGCATGTCAGTAGCAAGCACAGGTGAAAGGGTCCTGGGGTAATGCCAAAGTGTACCCGAACCCCTTGGAAACCCCTGAAACACAGGACATTGAAGTCCAGGCAGGAAGATTCTGATGCAAGAATCTGGGGAGGGGAGTATTTGGAAATCAATCTTCTTGATGGGAAACTTGAATCCAACAGAGTACTAAGACTACCTACAAAAGTCAGCCAAACCTACACAAGGTAGCCACAAAGAAGTTTTCCCATATTCACTTCCTTCCATAGACAGAAAGACCAACAGTAGATTTCCCCACCTGCCTGAAGAGACTACCTCATGTATGAAGGAGAGTAAGACAGAGATTCACAGTAAAGACACGAAGACTAAAGAGTGAACTTCAAAAATGCTCATCACCCTGGGCCACTCCCAAGCACATTCCTACAAAGTGGACCAGAGCTCGGCTGCTGTGTGATTAGAACACTGAAGGGCAAAGCCTCGTGCACCCAGTGCCACCGGGCAGGGGTTCCGGCACACGCCCCTTCAAACCTCACCAGCAAGCTTCTCCATCTGGACCAGTGTGTCCTCAGTCGGCGCACCCTCCAGCAGCTTCTCGGTCAGCCGGCTGCCACACGCTTTCAAGAGCCTGCAAAGCACAGTCATGCCCAAAGAGAAACGGAACCTGAAGCGGGCCACTCTTCTTGATGTAACTACCAGCTCACAGGGAAGATGGGAGTAGCCGAACACGCACAATACCACCAAGGAGGCATGAACGGCCACATCCAGAACATAGCCAAGTCTGTAAGACAAATGGCCCAGGCCCTTCAATGAAAGGCAGGGTTGGCAACAAGCAGCCCTGTTCCAAATTCAGAGAGATTTAGGATATATAGCAACTTAAACAATACGTAAGTATTCGATTCAAAAGTGACCCTTGAGACAAAAAGGGAACACTGAACATGGATTGGGTCCAGGATGCTATTACAGAATCACTGTCTTGTTGGAAATAGTAACGCTTTTATGGTTCCATTTATAGTTGAAATAATTAAGTGGGGGGATCAGTAACAAAGTACCAGAGTGTTGGTAACTGCTAAAGCTGGTGATATGGACATGTAGGTAGTTCAGGAAATTATATGACTTATACTACTTTGGGTACCTTTGAAAGTTTTCCCTACTATAATTTTGAAAGACAGGAGTGAGTGGGGACGAGAGAATTTTTCTCTTGAGCTTCTAGGCCTTCCGAGGCTGTGTTTCTTGTTCCAGGGTCTATAGCAAGGAGCTTCTTCCACAACAGGACCTAGTTGACATGACAAGATTCCAGACTTCAGACCGATTCCAGAGTGCAGGCTGCAAAAGAAGGTACCCGGGAGACAGTCTATTTTACATACAGGTGGAATATAAATAACCTGTGGCCAGAAGACAGACTCTAGCGGCTTTAAGTAGCTCCACAGGTTATTTAAAAGGCTGTGGGCTGGATTTTGTAATGTGACACACACACTTCCAGTGAGCAGTGTGTGACTTCTGGGCCCAGGTCAGGCTCCGCCTTACTCTCTTGGGTCACGTTCACGGGGGTGGGGTGGGCACGACTCCCACATCCACAAAGAGAGGAGGGCAGCCAGTGTGAGCTTGCCAGCCCCAAGAGCAGGCCCCTCAGAAATGGAGCCTTCCGTTGAACCTGCAGATGTCTTCCCCGCCCTGAATCACTAAGTTCTGCGGTGGAACTTCTAACCCACCGCAGAAGTGAGAGAAATGTTGCTTGCTGTTTAAAATCATTTGGAGTCCCCGGTCTTGGTATGGGAGCATCACTGGGCGGGGAGGCCATCTAAGTGCCCCAGAAAGCAGAAGAGAAGGCCTACAGAACAGGAGGGTGGCTCGTTTGTTCTGTTTTTATGTATTGAAAAGTTTATATTTAGCATTAGTCATCTGGACTCAGTTTAGGTGATTCAGATATTGTTGGCAACATCTAAAGCATCAGTCAGGAGCCAGTCAAACACATGCCTTCTTCTCACTGTCAGGTCTGTGTGAGGTGTTGACGTTAGCCAGGTCACAGAGCTTCTTCACAGCCTGTTTGATCTGTTTCTTGTTGGCCTTGACGTCCACCATGCACACACGTGTGTTCTCGTCGATCTGCCTGGCAGACTCCGTGGTCGGGGAAAGCCTGTTTCTCCTGGGGGTGCTCTTCCGAGGATATCGGGCTGCCTTCTTAGCCGCAGGGTCGTAGGCTGCAGGAAGGTGGGTGACACACCCATCTTTTGGGGGGGCTGTGAACGTCTTTCAGCACAATCTTCTTGGCCTTTAATTTAATGTCTTTGCATTGGCTTCCAATTTGGGAATGGCTGGGGCTTCTTTCCTCGCCTGCAGCACCATCTTCCAAGATAGAGTGTTCATGCTTACCTAACTGAGGGAGTTAGTTTATTGTGCCAACCTGGCCGATAAACACATGTGGGGTTAATTGAAGGGCGGAGGGATAAATGGCTCGGTAAGCCTCGCCTTTCTAGTTCTCAGGTCTCTTGCTTTGTGATGGTCGGACCAGGGTGCAGCTGCCTTAAGCAGTTCCCTGCTTCAGCTGGCAAGGCTCACTTCCTGCAAGACATCCCCGAGCCGAAGCCGCATGGGACCTACCCCATGCAGCCCTGGGTGCTGGAGCAGCCGTGTGGAGACCCCTGCCAGCGCTGAGATGCTTACACGTTCACTGACTCTGCTTTCCTCCTGCAGTCGGCATCACTGCATGTGTTTTGTGAGATGGAGGAGGACTTTGTGGATTGGTGTTGGACATTTATATGGGTTAACGCTGGACTTGTGAGTTTGGGCAGCACTGGGTTGGGATGTATTCTTGATGTGCACTTAACCTTTATATAAAACTCTCTCTTATACATGAGTTTCTGTGGTTTTGTTTCTCTAAAGTACCCAGACAAATACACTAAAGATTACACACCCAGAGCTCCTCCACAGAAGCAAGGAGATAACTGTTCCACTCCATGCTTTAATACAACCAAATCTGTAGCATTATCCAACCAGCACATAACTGCACCCATCAAATAGGTGAAAAGCTCATTACCAAGCAAAGGAGGTGTGCAGGCATGCCCACAAGTTGTCATCGCTGGTCAGAGAGGTCAGCGACCGGGCTGCGTTGCCATTCCTTTGATGCAAGAATGGTGTAAACGCTGTGTTCATCCTTTGGGCGCGCTGTGGGCATCCAAACTGCTCTGCTTCAAACACCTGAAGTGCAGAGGGAAGGGAAGCTCAATATCAGAGCGAAAGTAGGCAGCCAAGGTTGCCGCTACCTCACAGCCAACTTCTGACCCCTACTTGCCCCTGGTTCTAGAACAGTTCTACTTCCCCAGATAGAGTAACAGCCACCCGAGCGAGGAATCAGTGCCGACTCTCTCCTGCAATGGACTCCTTAGGCAGATGACGTGCTTAGGTAGTCATCAGCATTGCTCGCTAAACATTCTCAGGCCCCATTTCCAAGCACAGGGAGGATTTCCCTGGTGTGGTGTGAAGCATGCGACTAGTTCTGGCCAGTAAGATAAAAAAGAGCGGGGCCCTCCAGTGTCCTATTCCCTCAACAGGGCAAATGAGCAGCATCCCAGTTGGCTGCCACCCTGTCTGCCTGGACTATTACAATAAAAGATCCCCCCGGGCCTCCTGCAATGGACTCACTGCATGAGCAAGAAGCAAATGCTTGTGGATGTAATCTGCTGAGGCGTGAGGGTCATCTGACCAGAGCCCAACCTGCTCTACAGTGACAGGTAATGCCACAACTGGAAGCCTAATTAGGGGTGGACATGCTACGTGACTAGCAGAAGCAGGCCTGAAGCCTGGGCCTGAGCACCATGAGCCGGGAGGAGACGAGCTGAGCAAGAATCAAGAGAACGGTGGGGGCAGGAGAGACCAAGACTGCAAGCGGGGCTGACCACCATGAGTTTGTCACATGCAGCCCCAGCGGAAATAGAAACTGGAGAGGCCACCGCTCTGCTGCAGGACAGGGCCCGCCCCAGCAGCTTCACCTTGAGGGCCTTGCCCTGGAGCTCATCGATGATCCCTCGGATCTTCCCGAGCAGGAAGGGCCAGGAGTTGATGAGATAGATGCGGTCCATCATGATGGCAATGATGCTGTACCAGCGCTGGAAGCCCCTGGCCAGGCTGTCTTTGATAAAGAAGGTGTGGCTGAACACGAAACCATGCTGCTCGTCTCCAAAGAAGATGGGGCCTTCACGGCCAGGGCAGACCTGTGAACATGGCAGTAATAGAGGCAGCAGTCCTCCCGAGCCTCAAGGAGAGTCCCACCAAGTCCTTCAGACTTCTGTCTGCACTGATTACCCAGAATGAATTGCTAGGCAGAGGAGGGAACAAGGGAAATTTTGCATTCATCTGGTCATCTGATCACTTTCTGATAACATTGGTTATCAAGAAACACAAGTCAAATAGGTTGTTTCTACTTGAAGCCAAAAAAATTTTCTTTCCTATATAAATATTCCATCAATCCTCAGCTCAAATATATCTAGCTACACTATAGTTCAGAACCACGCAGGTCGAAATAGCTACTACACAGTCCATAAAATTTACATACTATGTTTTTAGGAGAAGACTATTACAAATCCTCCCCTCATGGTAATTCACATGCAATTCTAATGCATGATTATTTGCTTTCTAGGAACCCTGGTAGCACAGCAGGTGCACGCTGCTAAGTGCAAAGTCTGCCCTTGGAAGCCACCAGCCCCTCCACAAGAAACAGATGAGGCTCTCTGCTACTGCAGAGTCAGTCTTAGACACCCACAGGCGCAGGTCTACGCTGCCCCGGAGGGGCACTGTGAGTGGGCACCGACTCCATGGCAGTGAACAGATTAAAAAGGAAACTCACTGCCATCGAGTCCACGCCGATTCACGGGGCCCCTTGGGCAGGGTAGACCTGCTCCTGGGAGTTGCCAAGACTGTCACTCTTTACAGAAGGAGAAGCCCGGCTTTCTCCTGAGGAGCAGCGGGTGCTTTCAGACTGATCTCAGCGCACAGAGTAACCGCTCCAGGCGAGGGCAGAAGGACATGTAATAGGAGAAACAGCTGAATATCAGCACCCAGCCACAATACGTGAAACCTGGTAGCCAGAGCGCACAATCTGTCTGACAGGGCGACCACCAGGGAAAAGAGGCTTTAGTACCTTAGTTATGAACCTATTTGTGGCAAACAGACAAAAACACTCCACAAAAATTAAAACTAGAACCTCACACCAGCAGTCACAGGGTCCAGCAACAGAATTACACACCTAACAGACCCTGGGGCCATTAGTGCTTAAAATGAGGACCAAAATTACATAAAAAGGTTATGTGCGAATGCTGTGAAATCATACCTAAAAAGAATCCTAACCTTAGAAATAAATAGGTCCAACAAGAATGGGCAAGTGATCTAAATTTGGTGCTCAAGGTAGAAAACCAGCCACCATGCAGAAGCCTGCACAGCTCACAGGACTGATTCTCAGGGCCCAGAGAACTGCTGAGGCCTCTGCTCCACAGGGGGCCACTGACTTGACCTAACCTAACACTGAACTGGCTGAGGACACCTTTCAATGGGGCAGCATGAGATTTCCCCCCAAACCGTCTCCCACCTCACAGCTCAGGCTCCGCACGCAGGCTTGGCGAACAATGCTGAAGAGCTGAGGGTGGTTGGGGTGCTGGTGGCTGACATACTTAATGGAGGTCTCCTTGTCATGGCTGATGTACCCCGGATGCCCCACAGCGAGGGATCGGCAGCCCTGACCAGGAGAACGAAAAGAAAACCAGTTAGTTGGGAAGCAGACAACAGACCCTTTTATTTCTGAATTTAGAAGACTCCATCACTTATTTGAGGATGTTAAATGCTAAAGTAACAGACTGCCAGAGGGTAACAGCAACAAGAATGTTACTGAGCATTGATCTACCAGATATTGGGATAAGGTCTTTGCGTATTTCATCTCATCCCAGGCACAGCACAGCACCTGAGAAAACAACAGTGAGAACCCCCACGGGGACACTGAGGCACCGAGATGGTACGGAGGCAGCCCAGGGCCACAGAACTGGCAAGCAGCAAGGCTTGGCTGCACTCAGCTGTGAATCACTGTGAGTGGCGTGACCCACCCTGCCACCTCAGCCCCAATGCACACAACTGGCAAGGCCTCGGGCCAGAGCAAAGGGTCAAGCACGGAACACAAAAGAGGCCATGACCTCAGGGTGTTGGCCCTACAAGAGACTAATGAGCTGGCACCCATTGGCTGTGCTTCCTGTGGCAGCCCCCACTCAAAGGCCAAAAACCAGGGACCACCAAGTCAAACCCATTCCCCTAAGATGTGGCCCCTCTAAGGGGTAACTGCTCAAGGTACCTCCAACAACCTGGCTGGACCCACCCAAGCCCCTTCCTGACATGCCTCCCTACATGCCCCCTATCTTTCACGGGTGTCCCCAACTGTTAAATCTCCTGCCCATCGAGTGTCCACTTGGGATCTGTATCTCAACGGAGCCTGCTGGTAACGCTGCGGTGACTGGCCTACCACCACCCAGATTGACGCACTCAGAGGTGCCTCCTCTTCAGCAAAGTGATGCTTCACTTTCTAGATCTTACCAAGTGGCACAGAGGCTTCCACTGGGGAGCCTCTAAGGACAGTGGGCTACAGGAATCAGATCACTGAGCGCCTCCCACTCCATCACGCCGTCCTGCTCCTGGCACCAGGTCTCTGGTCCATTCCCCCTCTGCAGCACTCTGTGGTGACTGTACAACCCACCCCAGGATGGCAGGAGCAGTCACAAAACAGGGGTTCTAACAGAGCAGGTGCTCCAGGGACCAAGAGGGCACTCACTTCACACATGTCGGACTTTTTGGGGCCTGGGCTGCTGGCTTCTACGCTGGCTCCTTCTGCTGGGCTGTGAGATCGGATGCGACTGCTCATCTGAATGCCCCCTTCTTCCTCCTCGGCTTGCTCACCCTGGCTAGGGCTGTCCCCACTCTCGGCCCCTTGGGGCAGTGGAGCATGCAGAACTTCAGTACAAAAGAGAGTACGGGGACCATGCAGCTCGCAGAAGTGACAGAGTGCAACAATGGCGTTCATGGTGTTGGGGAACTAACTTGCAGCCTGCAAAGAGAAAGGAGACATCAACAGCTGGCCCCAGCCATGCACGCCACAAAGGGCCTGATATAGGTGCACAGGAGCCAGGAGTCATGGGCAAGTCAGCCCTACTGCCTATAGGCCCCTACCCCACAAAGTGAGTCCCACATCTAGTCTGTGTGTCCTCAGCCCTGGCCAACAGAGTCACATGCAGAGGCACAGACAAAACATGCCCTGGCCCATGTGAGTTCCAAGCAAACAAGAAAACATTAACACCGCAAAAAAGATCTTTAGTTAGAACGGTAATCAGTGCTGGGCATAAACAGTACAAAATAGAATGACAAGGAAATAGAGCAAAACATGGCAAATGCCACACACACAAAAAAAAAACAACCTCAAAGCCCAACTCAGTGCCACTGAGAGATGATAGCGCCTCTATAAATCTCCAACGACTTTTTTTACCCAAACAATATGCCATACTGCATATTGCTCCATGGGGTTTTAAAAAGAATCATTTCAAACAATTGCAAGCTAAACAGCTCTCAGCTGTCAAGCAGCTCAACACGTAACCACTATGCCACCACCAGGGCTCCTAAACACCACTAAGATGAGAATGACATATCGCAGATTTCCAGGGACAGAGTAAGGACCCCTCAGAAGGGGCCCTACGGAAGAGCTGAGGAATGCAGGGAGGCTGGGGGAGCAGAGGAAAAGTGCATGGCTCCAGGCCTCACTGGGGCATGACTTGGGCATATGGAGGGAGTTGGGATAGCATCAGGAGTTGAGAGCAGGTTACTGCAGAAAACAGGCCGGTTAAGGTCAAGGTGAAAGCAGAGGGAAAAATGAGGTGCTACTCCACTTACAGGATAGTCATGTTGTGACTATATTCCCAACCAGAGCCACCAGAGGGCATTGAAGGATGGAGGGTGGGTCAGAGGCAAAGGATCAGCTGGGGCAGAAGGTAAGTACACAGTGCCATCCCACACACCAAGAGAGCAGTGTTCTGAAGAAGAGCGGATGGCCTCTGTAAAGTGATGTGCAGGTTGTAAGTGGAGTGAAGGGAAGCTGCATGGAATGGGGCCAAAGAGAAGTGTGGTGTCTTCTTGAGAGAAGCACAAAAGGAAGAGAAGGAAATGTGTACAGGCAAATTTAGGGAACCCAAGGGGCATCACAGGTTACTGGGGGTGTTACCAGGTCATCAGAGAACGGAATGGGGAGTTGTTGCTTAATGGTAGGTACAGAGTTTCTATGTGGAGAAAAAGAAGTTCTAGAAATCAACAATGGTGACAATACACAACTTTGTGAATCTAATTAATGCCACTGAATGGAAGACCCACTGAATAACTTAGAAGTCAAATTTATGTTTTTAGCACGAGAAAACGTAAAAACAAATTCTAGCAAGATATTCACACGAAAGCAGCACATGATCAATTTTTCTTTATCTGCAGAACACGGAATCCAGCTTCCAACTTCTGGCCAGACGGTGGACTAAGCAGACATGCTACCACACACTGTACCTCAAAGACATGAAGGATCAAATGAAGTCCATCCATATGATGATCCTGAAACTCTGGGCTTCAGAGAAAGGATAAGGAAGTAGGGACTTATCAGCTGGCAGAGTGCACCGATCTGGACTGGGTAACCTACCCCCAGTCCCCTCTCAGCCAGCAAGAACACACCACCTGTCCCTGTCAGGTTTTCTCCGCTCATTCTTTTTCTTTTGCCTTCCTTATTATTGTTTTTATTTTATCTTGTTTTTATTTTGTCCCATCCAGCAGGAGACAGCAAAAATGCCCACAATGGCAAGCAATTCTTGCATCTCCAGCAGCCCTACCCATGGGTGGGGGTCACCACCCACTCCTGCACCACCTGATCAATGATAAACAGAAGCCATTACCAACCCAACCTGCCCTCAACTGCTCTACACAAACGATGAACAGAGAATTACATACACACTCATCCTCTATCACTCTCACTAGGAGACAGATAGTGAGCAGGCAGCTAAGAACAAATTAACATACAATCACCAGTTGAATACAAATACAACATTAAGTCTCCAAGACAACAGATGATTTCAGTTCATACAAACAAACAAGACAAAGTAAGGCAAAGAGATGACCAAAATACAAAGCCAGAAAATGTACTGAGAAAAAATTCTACTGGATCTACCTGATACAGAATTTAAAAGAATGATATTTAAGGACCCTCAGCATACTGAAAGATCAAGGGAATTTCAGACAAAATCAGGAAAACACATATACAGTGAACCCTCATTTATCGCGGTTAATCGGTTCTAGACCCTACCGTGATAAATGAAATTCCGCGAAGTAGGATTCCTTATTTGTAAATCAAATATTTTCGAAGTTAGAGCATAGAGGACATGAAGAAACACCCTTTAGTCACCATTACACTCGTATTACCCAATTTATTAAACGAAAAAGGGAAAATACAGTAAAACATTTTGGACGTTACAATTATCATTTATTATTTATTATGTTATTTATGGCATCTAGTTTACAGTACTACATATTTCACATACAGTATTATTATACATAGTTCTTACAAATACTGTAATCAATAGCCTATGAAATGACTTAAGGGATGTACTCTACAGGTGGGTCGCCGTCTTTTTCCTCTGAAGGAGCGGGTGTAGGCACTGGGTGCTGTTACGCAAAAACCGCGATAGAGTGAAGCCGCAGAAGTCAAAGCGCGAAGTGGCGAGAGTTCACTGTATAATCCTTAAAAAATTCTGAAACACTACAGGAACTGAACAAAAGTAAATGAAAAAGGAAAATACCATACAACATTAGCAAACAGAAGTACAGAAGATTAATGCTAAGATTTCCATAAGAGAGAACACTGTGAGCCAAAGGACTAGAACTGACTCAACAGAAGATCCGAGTTAGTGAGATTAGTGAGATTTAAAACAAATCTCTGAATATGAATTTGCTAGAGGAACAATCAGGGTGGGCAGTGGGGACAGAAAAGAAGGAAAGTAAGCCCAGTAATTATGTGGGACACTGTCAAGAGGAATAACTTGTGTTCAGATTTTGGAGATCTGTTGGAGGAAAACTTCCCTACTACCATAACCTATCAGAAAACATTCAATGAGCTCACAGACCCCCACAGAAGTCAGATCGCAAAAGAAAATCACCACAATACATCATAATCACCAAAACCAAAGGCCAGGGAACAATTCTGAAAACAGCTGGGGGATGTGAAAAGTTACCTGTAGAGAACAAACACAGCCAAGCTCTGATTTCTCAGCAGAAAATCATGCAGCTGACAAGTAGAAAATTCTGAAAGAAAAAAAATAAAATAAAAAATCAACCAGGAATCATATACCCAGTAAAAGTGTCCCTCAAACATGACAGCAAAATTAGGTCATTTCCAGAAAAACAAAAATTAAAGGAATTTGTAAAAACCAGATCAAGCTTACAAGAAATGTTACATTAGGTTACTCTAGAGGTGCTAACCACAAGGCCAGCAGTTCAAATCCCCTAGCTGCGATGGGAGAGAGTGGTGGCTTTCTACTCCTGTAGAGTTACAGTCTCGGAAGCGCACTGGGGCAGGTCTACCCTGCCCTATGGGGCTGCGATGAGCTGGAATCGACTCAACGGCAGTGAGTGGGTGAGTTAATCCTAACAGAAAGCCAACAATGGTGGACACAACCTGAGATTAAACACACATGACCACACACTCCACAGAGAAATCAACATATAAAGAAGTATCCAAAGTAAAACAAATCTACAAACTGAAAACTGGGAACCAGAGCGAACGATCTATAAACAAAAGTAAAGAGAATAGTGTGGTTACGAAATTTTCAAAAGGGAATCAGGTCAATTTCACTACAGAATAGATTGTTTCAGACCTGGGAAGAAATAAATAAATTACACGGTAACCTCAAAGAAAATTAATCTCCACAAAATGAAAGTGGAAAACCATAAAGACATAAGCAATAAAACCATGAAAGAAATTATAATACACAAATGACCTCGACACAGAAAATTAGGTGAAACAAAGAAACTAGTAGCTCCCCCAGCCCCACCAAATAAACCACATACACAGCGAGGGCAAGTTCATATTGTCAATAATCGCACTGAATGGAAATTGCTTAACTGCATCGATCAGGAGACAGATAATAACTGAATGAAAAAGCAAGCAGGGCCCATCGACATACTGTCTACAAGAAATATAACTCAAACATGACAACAAAAATAATCTGACAATCAAAGGGTGGGAAAAAATACATAACAAGTTAATGGCAACCAAAGAAAAGCACAGGAGTGGCTATATTCATTCTTGAAAAATACTTTATGGCAAAAACCAGTTCTCCCTTTTATGATGTTTTCTAAATTCTAGCTGCTACACCTGTGCCCACTGTGGAGTGAGCTAGCTATCTGTATGTTACCAAGACAGTATGAGTGGAATACATTTTGAATTAAAACCTTAGTAGAGGGTGTGAATCAAGTCCCTAGGCTTTGCTTCTTCTGGCGTATTGGCTGCAGGAGTTAAAACCACATCTCCATCAAAGCCATCATTGTGGTCTTCTCTTTCCAACTGAACATGCACAGAAATACATGAGACCTGCTTTTCATTTTTTGACTTTTTCACTCTCTGCTCTGGATCCTACATCTTACTTCTTGAGACTTGAGTTGTAGCCTATCACTTGACCAGCTGCTGCAGTCTTGTGGATAAGAAGAATCCTCCAGATGTATGAATTTCAAATTTGGGACGGACTAGCAACCACAACCATGTAAACCATTTCCTTAAAGGCTCATGAGTTCAATGGGGGCTGCTCCATGAAGGAATGAATATACCAAGAGGAGGAATGGCAGTTAACAAGGGATATTGGGGTAAGATAGCATTTTGGACAAGTTGGACATTTGGGACATCATTAATCTCCATTCATTGGGACTAGTCTTGTATTAATTTTCCTAAAACACATTATTTTTACATCAGCACAAGAGAAAAAGGACATTAAATGAGAAATTTCAAAAAGTTCCAGGAAAAAATAGAATTGAAAGATAATACAATTTTCCCATGAACTTTTTGAAGCCCCCTCATCAAAGGATTAAAGGGTCAAAAGAACAAGGGCATAAACATAATAAAAATTTATGCCCCCAATTAAAGATTATCAAAATTAAGAGCTGTAAGAGCCCCCAATAAAATGATTTTTTAAAAGGGAGGGGACAAAAGATAGGGAGGGGAGAATTGGATATATATTATTAAAATATCCTTATGCTCCAAAGGATGGGATGTATTATTTATTGTCTAAAGGTAAAATAAGATTTTTTAAAATTCATGTTATAAAATACGATAGGTATGTAAAAGTTCATGCAAGAAGATTTTAATAATTCAATTAATATATGTAAATGATATCCTAAAAATGCGAATTCAAGACAAGACGAAAAACATAATTCAATAAACAGATAACTACTAAAAAAAAGAGTATCAAAATACAGAAATCAAACTTTAATAGAATTAGTGGGTACATAGGCAAAAGTAGTGAAGAAAGCTGATGGTGTCTGGCTATCAAATGATATGGCGTCTGGGGTCTTAAATGCTTGAAGATAAACAGGCGGCCATCTAGCTAAGAAAGCCCACATGGAAGAAGCACACCAGCCTACCCCTATAGGCACGCTGAAGACAAAGCAGGTGCGTAGGCAAATGCGGTGAAGAAAGCTGACAGTGACCGGCTGTCAAAATATATAGAATCTGGGGTCCTACAGGCTGGAAGATAAACAAGGGGCCATCTACCTGAGAAACAACAAAGCCCACATAGAGGAAGCACACCAGCCTGTGAGATCACAAGGCATATCGAAGAGATCAGGTATTAGGCATCAAAGACAAGGGGAGAAAAAAAAAAAATCATAGCATTGTGAATGAGGGGGAGTGCGGAGTGGGGATCCAGGGCCCATCTGTGGGAAATTGGACATCCCCTTGTAGAAGGGTTGCCGGGAGGAAATGAACCAGTCAGGGTGCAGTGTAGCAACGATGAAATATACACATTTCCTCTAGTTCTTGAATTCTCGCCCCCCCTCCCCCATCCCCACTATCATGATCCCAATTTTACCTTACGTATCCGGCTGGACCGGAGGATGTACACTGGCACAGATAGGAACTGGAAATACAGGGAATCCAGGGCAGATGAGCCCCTCAGGACCAGTGGTGGGTGTGGCGATATCGGGAGGGTGGAAGGAAGATGAGGGAGAAAGGGGAAACAGATGACAAGGTCTATATATAACCTCCTCCCTGGGGACGGACAGGGAGGGGTGGGTGAGGGAGACGTCAGATGGTGTAAGATATGACAAAAATAATAATAATTTATAAATTATCAGGGGGGAGTGGGGAGGGAGGGGTAACAAAATGAAGAGCTGATACCAAGGGTTCAGGTGGAGGGCGGGTGTTTTGAGAATGATGATGGCAACATATGTGCAAATATGCTTGATACAATTGATGTATGTATGGATTGTGATGGAAGTTGTATGAGCCCCTAATAAAATGGTAAAAAAAAACCTTTAATAGAATTGAAAAATGAAATAAATGATGTCAAGATGACTTTAATACACTACTTTTGAAGGACAGAACTAAAAAGAAACTCAACAAAAGACATAGAAGAACTAAAGAACAGGGAGGTGGGGAGGGAGGAGGAAAATGAACAACTGATATTAAGGACTGAGGTGTAGGGCAAATATTTTGAAAATGATGAGGGCAGCGAATGCACATATGTGCTTGGCACAGTGGATGTATGTATGGATTGTGATGAGAATTGTATGAGCCCCCAATAAAATAATTTTAAAAAAACAACTAAAGAACATAACCAGTTGACCTCATAGACCTATACAGAACACTTTACCCAACAGCACAATTTCACTCATAGTGATCCCACACGTTCAGAGCAGAACTGCTCAGAGGATTTCCAACCCGTCTTTCTTGGTGCCCTGCGTGGGGCTGACTGCCAACTTTTGAGGCTAGTAACTGAATATTTAACCACTGCACAGGATCCCTGGTGGTAGAGTGCTTACAAAGTACGGCAGATCCTCATGTCAACAGTTCAAACCACCAGCAGCTCCAAGGGAGAAAGACGGGGCTTTCGACTTACTCCCACAGTTAGTTTCGGTATCCACAGGGAATCACAATAAGTCAGCATTGACTCAATGGCATCAAGTTGTTGTTGTTTTTTAACCACTTGCACCGCTTAGTGACTCAGCATATGTAATTGTCAACTGACAGTAATCCATGTGACAGAGTATAACTGCCCAAGAGGGTTTCTTGACTGTAATCTCTACAGAAGCAGAAGCCCTGGTCTTTATGCTGTGGAGTTGCTGGGTAGGTACGAACCTCCAACTTTTGGGTACAGCCAAACACTTAACCATTTCTCCACCTTGGATATAACAGTTGATATAGTCTAATTTAATGATTTTTACATTTGTTTCTGAGTGCACATAACATCTGCTCAATGAGTTTTCCAAAACCCAAGAGGCAGGCAGGCTTCCCCTGCCAGAGACTATCCATTAGACCTGATAGTCCAAGTCACTATTCGAGTACCTGGAAGAGAAAGCCTTTCGGTTCGACTCCCCTTACACCCTGGCTAAGTTTCTGGACGTGACAATGATCTCTGCACTCACCTTCCTCTCTCTCACCCCATGGAGTGCTCTGTGCCCCGGACCTATTTCATAGGGCTATGAGGATTAGACTAGAGTGCACTGCATACATGAAACATCACAGTGGTTCTTGACCAGTTGTGAGCAACAGACACATCTCACACAAAGACCATAAATCAGTGACTGGGATCCCAGCGAGAGCAAAATGGGAGAAAACCCACAGGAGATTATGTCCTGCTCAGACTCACTAACACTGTGGATCTACTACTACTGACTTTGCCCAGGCTACTGTTTAAAGTTTCTTGACTTAAGACTCTAGAAGAGCAAATGAAGCGTCACATGCCACTATTACTCAATAACAGCGGCAATGTTGATGGGCTAGCACCTCCAGCACTGATGGACTATGGTCTTTCTCTGCTTCAAAATGAAGTCTCTTCTGCCAAGGGTAGTGCCAGGTGTCCAAGGCCCAGAAAACAAGTATTTCCTTTTAGCAAGCTCCTCTACACCCTTTGCTACCACCAGTTTGAACCTCAATCTGCAACCAACCAATCCCTGAACCACATATTCTTTGCAGGTGATAAGGATCCCTCTGACCACACCTATCAAACTAGAACAGGCTAGTTCATCTCCTTGTCCAGGAGGATCAATACAGACCTATCAGCTTGTCAGAGGGGCCTCAGAATGCCAGCCTGGAAGAACAGGAGCCATGATACAAATCAGAGGCAACGCAAAACCTGGGTGAGGAAAAGCAAAATTAAATGAAAAAATTCATCAGTGACCCTAACAGGTCACCTTTATCTGCACAGTCTATATGAGGTCATGGATTTGGCCCTCACCCCCTAAATCTCACCCTCCCCTTCCATATCTTACAAACCACCTCCATCACCCCTAAGACCCCAGCCCAAGTCAAAACTCAGTTGTGCCCTTTCCAGCTGACCCCTGTAGACCGGTCTGGCTTCTCTGTCCCTGGTGAGTCCCTGGCGGTAGGAGCCTCACAGCAGGGATGGGGGTCTTGGAGGTAGCCTGTCCCTGTTGAAATGCCAGCTCTCCCTAACCTACCTGCAGAGGTCAAGCTTGGCTGGGGCCTCAGTTTCTGCAAGAGCAAGGCGAGGATAATCCTGCCTCCCTAAAGCAAAGCGTGCAGGTTCGGGCCCGCGACTAAGGTGCACACTTACCAGCAACAACTCCTATTCTCCCAGATCATGACCCCCACCCACTGGCAAATCCCGAGTAGCCACTGGTCCAGGGGACCGAAACCCAGCGCCCCTCCTCCGACCCCAGACAAGGCTCCCTGCCCGACTTCCCCTTCCAGCCCCATCTCCTTGCTAATCGATCCCATCGGTTTTTCCACCTGCCGGCAGGCCGGTCAGCGGCCTCGGCCTAACGCTACAGCCCGAGCCCG